TCATGTACAGAAATGTCCTGTTGGCTAGCTACAGTTTTCCCAAATGTGTAGTTTTTGGCTTAGGCTCTTAAAAACTTGAATTAGTTGCCAATTCCAATAATCAGGAGATTTTACATGAAAATATGTTTCTGGATTCTCTTTCAAAAATGTCAGCTCTGACAATACTTGGGCCCACGCTCTGACAGGGCAGCAGTTGTGGGACACGTGAGTCCTCCCATCCTGTTGTGAATTGTGTCATCTCAAGTTGCCTGGGGAGCTTGGAGAAACCTTGGAAAGCAGATGGTCCAAGCCCTTTTTTTTTTTAAGACAGAGTCTCTCTTTGTCACCAGTCTGGAGTGTAGTGGCGTGATCTCGGCTCACTGCAACTTCTGCCTCCCAGGTTCAAGCGATTCTCCTGCCTCAGCCTCCTGAGTAGCTGGGATTACAGGCACACGCCACCACACCCAGCTAATTTTTTGTATTTTTAGTAGAGATGGGGTTTCACCCTGTTGGCCAGGATGGTCTCAATCTGCTGACCTCGTGATCTGCCTGCCTCAGCCTCCCAAAGTGCTGGGATTACAGGTGTGAGCCACCACACTTGGCCCCGAGCCCTTCTTTCCGAGATGAGGCCTGGGGGTGCTAAGTGACTCTCGTGGAGGCACGTGCTGGTGTGTTTGATAACGGGGTCTGGGGGACAGCTCTACCCGCTTGTACAGTGCTGTGTCCACTCAGTCATTCTGCCCTCCCCGCATACAACACAGAACACCATCTTGTGGGTAGCATCTGTTTCACAAGGGCTCCCAACCTCATGCTAACTGACACCCAAGGCCTAACTATGTGAGTCATGAGTCACTCAGAGAACCTGATTATCAAAGTCCAAACCACAAAGAGGAACACCTTCACTTCAAGGGCTTCTATTTCTAGAAATAACTGTAGTGTTCTCTGTGTAGACTTCTAAGCCCAAATAAATGTTTTCATGTTTTGAGAACTTCAAAAGCCCATTGCCCTTAAAACTTCCTTGATTCTCAGGAAAGGGTCCCCAGAAGCTCGGGGTGGTACAGGAAGCTGAATGCGTAGCCTCTGCTGGTAGAGCGGATGGCCAGCAGCTAGCTGGGTCTCACTTGTGGACATCCTTGAAAACAGCCTATTCATAGCTGTCAGGATGACGGATTCCAGCCCTAAACTGCTGACAAACATAACAGAACATTTTTAGTTAGTCTTATATTTTCTCTCATCTGTCTAATGAAAAAATTCAACTAGCTAGTGTGCAATTGATGTTGTTTTCTTATAAGCCAGGAGGCAATTGAGAAAACCCAGAAATAGAGTTGAGCCATGGTGTCACTACTTGTATCTGCCATTTCTCCATGTGGCTGAGAGTCCCTTGGAGCACACAGGAGGACCTTCTGCCTCAAGAATGGAATGGGTTCCTCTGGGTGGTTCAGAGCCTGACAGTGAACCCAGGAGTTTCGTGGAACTGGAAGTCAGCCTCAGAACAGCTGGTTAAGGATGAGTCATCTCCAGCTGAAAGGTGGTTATGAGAAGGAAAGAAACGGTGGGCCAAAGACAACTCAGGAAGAGAGATGCAGAGAAGGCGTTCCAGCAGCCATTAAAACATTGTTAGTTTTATTTTCTTCAAAAAAATATTGGCCACCTACAATAGACTCCCCACCGTAGACCTGCCCTTACCCCTGCAGCCTCTGGGAATGCGTCTTCCTCCCCAGTGATTGCGTCTCCTAGCAACAAGGAAGAAGAGCTGCTGAGCGCTTACTATGCATTCAACACCTGCTTGCTACTTCGCATCTGCCACATAAGCCTCACAACTCTGTGAGTAGAAAATAATGTTCCCGTTTTGTAGAAGAAGTGAACTTTCAAAGGATTTCAGTAACTTGCCCAGCCCGGGAGTGGCAAAGCCAGTCACGAACCCTAGCCCCTCAGCTCTCGGACGCCATATTCTTGTACAACAGAAGACGAAACAGACGAAAATTCGGTGCCACGCTCTGCAGCAGTGGTCCTCCAGCAAAGGCTAATAGTAAAGCAGCTGGTGAGACATCTTCAAAAGAGGAGAGGGACCGCTGCACTCAGGCTCTCTGGTTGGTAGTCAGGGAGAGTGGGGGCCGCATCTCCTAGCTCAAATTGTAGGGTACCACGTGCCTATAGGCTTTTCCTAAAGGCTTTGAAAGGGATGGTGGTGGTGTGCTGGTGATGGTAAAGGAAAGGCAAGACGAGGCAGAGGGGAACTCAATCTGTGAATGTCCTTATTTGTACGTATGGCCTAGCTTCTTTCTCTGTCTGAAATGTTCTTTCTCCACCTTCCCTGTTTGCCTTCTATATCCTTCTAAATGCATCTCTGGCATCTGCCTACTAAGAATTGGGTGTCCCTCCCATTACGAACCCCCTAGCTTGTTCTTAGCCTGCCACACTGAGATCTCTTCCTGCCTGACTTCTCCGGGTGTCCGGTGCACGGAATGCTATTTTGTTCTTTGTTGTACTCAGCACGTCTTCTCTAGTCCCTGGCACAATGAATGTTTGTTGAATTGATGACTACTTTGTCTCACACCAAACATGTACATTCTCAGAAGCATATTAGCAATTTTCTTTTCCAAGACGGAGTCTCACTTTATCTCCCAGGCTGGAGTGCAGTGGCACGATCTCAGCTCACTGCAACCTCCACCTCCCGAATTCAAGTGATTCTTCTGCCTCAGCCTCCTGAGTAGCTGGAACTACAGGCACGCGCCACCACGCCCGGCTAATTTTTGTATTTTTAGTAGAGATGGGGTTTCACCATATTAGCCAGGATGGTCTCGATCTCTTGACCTCATGATCTGCCTGCCTTGGCCTCCCAACGTGCTGGGATTACAGGCATGAGCCACCACGTCTGGCCACATATTAGCAATTAACATCACTTTGGCCAACTGTGTGACCAGTCAAGATAAGTAATCAAGGATTAGGGTATGGTATGATGCTGAAAACATCTATTAAACTAGACATATGTGGAACATAATTTTTTACCCAAAGTCAAGATACATAATTTAATAAATATGATCACTTTTTTCTTGCCCAGAGAAATAGGAATATATAATATCTACAGCTCCACATCTTTATCTGCCATCTTTGCCTCACTATGTTATACAGGTATGCCAGCTCAAGACACTGAAATAATAATAGCTGATAAGTAAGTAGCTAGCATTCTTGATGAGCCTACTATGCAGCAAGCCTTATGTGACGTGCTTTGCTGTCACCTCATTTAACTTTTCAACTACCCCTTGAAGCAGGTATGTTTCTTATCTCTATTTTAGAGATGAGGAAATTGAGGCTTAAAAATGTTAAGTCACTTGTCAAAGGTTACACCGCCAGCAGTGAATGAGCAGTCTATTTGACCTTTTCAGTTATCCTGCGATACTGACCTAACCGTGACCTCTTAACCTTTATTAGTTCATCGAAGAGCTACGACTGGGCAAAAATAGCTGTGGCTTCCGGAAACTTTTATTAAAACTCTAAATCTCCTGGCAATAACTTTCAAAAGTCATGATTCAGGCCAGCAGTGATATTTGAAAACGGAATCACAAGCAAGTCTCCTGGCTACAGATATGCTCTTGCTGCCAAAAAGGAATGCTTAGCTCCAGCATTGATGACAATCTGTGTTTTTCCCGTTACTTGGTCTTTCGCCATCATTGACTGCAGAAAGACACTGACCCTCACTCTGTCCTCCCTGGAGAATCCCCTCGTCCTGTCTGCTTACAATACACCCAGCTCTTCTAACTTTATTCATGAGGCATAATTCCCAGAGCTTGCTTATTCTTATTTCCTTCATCATTTATCAATTCTTTTCATGCATACTAACAGTCAGAAAAGCTATTTCCCAACCAACTGGATGTCAGAAGTAATGGAAGGACACAGTCTCATCTTCAAGTTCTAGGTAGACTCTTGGGGAAATATGCAGAAAAGAGTTATGTCTATTATTCTGAAGAGTCGTCTGCTATGACCTAAGGAAAAACGAGGAAAAAATATGAGCCCTCTTCCCTCTGAAGACTACTCCTTTCCCCTCGGTCGACAAACCTGACGGGAGAGGATTAGCAACATGGAAGGTAGCATCCTCTCTTCTGAGTGCCAAGAAGAATGTGATTTTGTTTAATCCTTCCTTAGCAAAATCTGTCAGCTCGTAAAGTGGACAGGTGTCCCTTCTCTTAGCCAACCCCTGATAATGGGGTGACAGTGGGGGTGGAAGGAATGGAATATCTTCAGAAACACTTCCTAGTGAGACCATCTGATCAAAAGCACCAACGTTCAGGACAAGCCATCTGACTTTGCAAAGCCTTTTCTCCTGAAAAACTGTAAAGCTCCGAGTAGTGAACTCTTACTTTGAAGCAAATATGACAAGATTTACCCTTAACTGAAGGATTGCCATGGCCCCAGCAAAGACATTTGAGAAAGGGGGGTGGTGGTTATTGTTATGAAACAACTCTTCTTTTTTTCCAACTTGCCCACAAATCTGTATCTAATTCTTGCCATTCTGCTTCCCCGCGGTCAGAGCACACATTTCAGCTGGGTTAGTGCAGGGCTCTCCCTCCTCTATCCTAAGACGGCACATCTCTCAAGTCGTAGAAGGATCTTTCCCTTACACCCCAAACATGCCCCAAAGTGGGTTCTGCCTGAGGAATGGAAAGGACAGTGACCAGAGCACTGTATCAATATTTGCCACCTCTGGTTTGACTCCTCATAGAACTCTTTCCTTGACGCAGCTAGACAGAACTTCTTCCTGTTCTGACCAGGATGTTCAGACAGCAGTTGGTAGTTCACCCAGGGTTACCATGATGTCTAAGAAATGAGCGGATTTTCTCTAACTTCCGAGCCAGAACAGTTGGTAAAAATTCTATTCCTTGATCATCTGATTGACAAGTGCTGAAAATGTAAGATTAGGGAAACTGCTGAAGGCTTGAGCCTCCCAATCCAAAGAACGTAGCTATTTTACGTGAGCATTTCAAGTACGGGATATTGAGCCATGTCTCTGCTTTGTGGTCCAGGATGAAGAACAAGCTGTGGTACTTCGAATTTGGCACCTCGGAGACTTTTGCAGCAACCTGCAAGAAACTCCATGACCACATTGAGTTGGAGGTAAGTTCCCAAGTGGGGAGAAGGCTTCCTGGACCTTGTTTCTGCTCCTGGATTGTCACACACCCACAGGATGGATCGTCTTGGGTCCTGAAGAGGTGGCCTAGATCGTAGTCTGTGTTGTTTCTCCATCCTGTTCCAAACATCTCCATACCCTCACTCAGAAGGTTCCAGTGGCCTGTCTAGAGAATCCCTGGGGCTGTGGGACACAGAGGCCCCAAGTCCCCAGAGCCACACTTCACTCAAGCCCTCAGCCCTCCTTCCACCCTAGCCTTGCGATTCCCTCTTTTCTGAGAGGTAACGTCTCCACTGCCATTAGCACAGGGAGAGGGGCTGTTGCTGGGCAGAGACAATGTCCCAGGCCTGGTAAAAGTCTGGGAACTGGTGTTTCCAGGGCAGCAGGGGTGGGGAGCACAGCAGCTGCAGCCAGGCATCCCGCAGCTCACCTGCCCTGCTGCTCACAGCTGCTCCAGGGGGCTGCTCACAGGTACCCAGGGTCAGTTTCGTGGGTGCACAATCTGTGTGGTCACAAAATGTCCCTGTGCTTAGAAGGGCCCCTGGTTTAATGCTGTTCTGCCACTGTCTTGCAATTCTTGATCATTTTCTAATGAAGAACCTGGCATTCTCATTTTGAACTAGGCCCCACGAGTTATGTAGCCCGTCCTGTTGGTGTACTTGTGTTTCACTAACTCTCCTGGCTTGTAGCGGCCTGCCTCAGACAGTTGGCATGGTGGCTCCCCTCCCCTGGTTGAGAAGCTGCCCGCTTCCCACCCTCTCACCCCGCATTGGCTGGGCTCCGCTCCTGAAGCCCTCTCATTGACTGCTATGAGAACATCTCCTAGGTCTCCAGCCAACTGAAAGCCCAAACTTCAATGCATACCTGCTCCGTGGGACTTCATGCCCACTTGTTCTCTTGCCCAGAGTGCTTCGCTCCCAGGCCTACCTTCCCGTGGGATTTAGGCCTATAGTCTTGTTTTCACTTGAGAAAAACAAGTGGAAGAGGCAGCCAGAGAGGTCAGCCAGGGTGGGCTCCTCTTGGCCCACAAGCTTCGCCTCTAAGCCCGTGCTGCAGTCCCATGGGGCCCGGGCCTCCCTTGGAGGAGGAGCACGTGGCCTGGAGCCACGGAGGGAAGCCTTGTCCCTCCCTGGGAAGGGCCCCGGGACTCCTCACTCACAGGGACTTTTCACAAACAGAACACCAAGCCAGAGGTTCTGTGCAGCTGCATTTGACTCATCTGCCTGCCTCTCCCCTTCGGTTGCTGGGTTACCAACACCAGGGTGGGAGGCAGCAAGCTGGCTAATCCCCTGAACTTACGGCCAGCTTGGTCAGAGGGCAGAGAGGCCAGGAGCCAGGGCGTGTGTCCCCAGGTGGTACATGGGGAGTCTGAGAAGTCAGCCCTCTCCTCTCCTGCACAGTGCCTGGGAGCTGAGGAAGGAGAAGAGGCCTTGGCAGGGGGCAGAGTATGGCTAACAGGGATATGTGTGCGTTTCTTCCCCTTGGCACGGCCATCTGGTGGGGTCTCTTTAAATATACCACAAGTGAGGGACAGCCCTGGCCTAACCACAGCCAGCTGCAGGCGCACAGCAGCGGCTTGTTCTCCCTGCAGCTGGCCTTGAAAGTGTGCCCAGAATACAGCAGCTCAGCTCCCCTGCCTCTGGCCTGCCCTCCCGGCTCCAGGCCCCACAGTCCCCTCTGGGTTTGAGAGACAGAGGCTATTCCTCAACCACAGAGGGGGCCTCGTTGCTAAAGACACTGGTGGCCTCTGGAGGGGATGGGGTTGTTCACTGGTCTGGAGGGGGTGTTGCTGGGCGCTTTCAAAGCTCTTCCTGTTTTCCTTATCTCTCCATAATGAGTCTTTTTAGTATTTATTCATGAGGGTTAGCTGGGGGAGTAGGGCTGAGCATGTCATGTGATGGGCAGCTTCTAACAGCCCTCAGGTTCGGGAAAGGCACCATTTCTGCATCCCGAGAATAGTGGTAGATGGTCCTGTGTCTTGTGATGCAGAGCAGATCTGAGAGAGGCAGACAGGGGCGAGGCACGGGGATAACAGGTGTAAGGAGGCAGCAGAGCCTCGCAGGGAGATGGGAGAGTGTCACAGGCCTCAGGAAGAGCTGGTCAGAGCAGCTATGCTAAGGGACCTTCTAAACGTGGTTGCCGCAGACCACAGGCCAGGCCTTTGAGGACCAGCACATGACCCCATTCAGGCATTGCTATTACGTTTCACCATCATCAGTGCCCACTGCAGCCTTTATTCCAAAGTCACACAACCAACCCTGTGAGCTAAGTAGTCCAGAGATTATTATCCCCATTTGATGGAGAAGCAAGCTGAGGCACAGAGATTTAGAGGGGTAAACTGGGCCAGGTGCAGTGGCTCACACTTGTAATCCCAGCACTTTGGGAGGCCGAGGCGGGTGGATCACCAGAGGTAAGGAGTTTGAGACCAGCCTGGCCAACATGGTGAAACACCATCTCTACTAAAAATACAAAAAGTAGCCAGGCGTGGTGGCAGGAACCTGTAATCCCAGCTACTCCGGAGGCTGAGACAGGAGAATCACTTGAACCCAGGAGGTGGAAGTTGCAGTGAACCAAGATGGTGCCACTGCACTCCAGCCTGGGTGACAGAGTGAGACTCCATCTCAAAAAAAAAAAAAAAAAGGGTAAACTGAAGGGAGAGAAAAGTCAAATGGGACAGGAAAAAGTCACATGCTTTGACTGCTGACCATAACATGTCCTCATATGCTATGACAACACAGCGAGGCAAGTATTGAGGCTCAGGTACATTCAATCTCTTGACCAAAGCTTCATTGCTGAAAACTGGCAAGAGAGAAGATCCAGGTCTTTTAGAGTGAGTTGAGCTTGGAACCCAGTAAACAGAGATGTACCTAACAAGTGCTGGAAGCGGTAAATGTAAAGTCTTCGGCACCAGGCACTGTTTCTTCCTCCTTCACTGTTTTCCTGATTTCCACTGATTCCTCTCAGCTCATGCAGCTAGGCAGGTGTGCTGAGAAACGCTTTGCAAAGAACAGAAGACTCAGTCCTTCTCACTTGAGGAAGGCATAGATTCAGGCTGGATCACAGGAAAGTCAGAGGAGGAAACCCGCCTGAAAGTTTGCAAAAGATCTTCTCACACAGCATCTCATTTATTTTGATCCACAGAACCGGCAGGGCCAAAATTAATGTCCTCACTATATGGATGAGGAAACTGAGGCTGACAGGTTCAGCAACCAGAGGAAGGGAACAACTGTAAGGAACTTGGGGGAACAGATAGTGAAGTCTATTTAGGTTCTTCCTTTTTTCTTTCTTTTTTTTGCCAATCTGGTAAAAAGTTGGATGGTGAAACTCAAAGCTAACATGAGAGATTGCAGTGAAGGTCTCCATTAAAAGCCATTCACGTGGCTGGGCAAAGTGGCTCACACGTGTAATCCCAGCACTTTGGGAAGCCAAGGCGGGCGGATCACCTGAGGTCAGGAGTTTTATCTCTACTAAAAATACAAAAATTAGCCAGGTGTGGTGGTGGGTGCCTGTAATCTCAGCTACTGGGGAGGCTGAAGCCGGAGGGTCACTTGAGCCTGGGAGGCAGAGGTTGCAGCGTGACTGCACTCCAGTCTGGATGACAGAGAGAGACAAAAAAGCAGGCAGGCAGGAAGGAGGGAGGGAGGGAGGGAGGAAGAAGAGAGAGCAAGAAAGAGAAAGAAGAAAGAGAAAGAATGAAAGAAAGAAGGAAAAAGAAAGAAAGAAGAAAGAGAAAGAAAGAAAGCCATTCACACGCTAAAGTGATATACAGGTGATTTCTCTAAGGCTAGTGGCTGTATGAGAAGGAATAGGAAACTTGGTCTTATCTCTGAAATAAAGTCTATGGCCCCTGGCCCGGCTAGACAAGAGAGAAACTGAAGGGAATCCACAGAACACACAGGAGCTGGTTAATATGGCACTTGCTTTACTAGTGCTAAGGAAACTCGATCCAAAGAGTCCTGCAGAGCCATGTGAGTCAGGTCACTCCTGGCCCTGTTTTTTAGGGCCCTGTGACTCAGGCAGGGGAGAAGGTGACTAAATCTACTGCTCACCTGCAGACATTTGGCCAGGGCCCTGACTTGGGCTCACAAGGCCTGGCGGGGAGCCCTGGTCTGTGCTTAGGTTAAACAGCTTACTGAACTGTGTGTCCGATCCTCAGTATTCTCATCTATAAAATGGGGGCATAGGGGTTAGTCTACCTCCCAAGGCCATTATTAGGATTAAAGTTTTTGGGGCTTTTTGGTTTTGTTTTTTTTATGTAACTGGCAGTGGTGCTAAGTGCCTCACGGAATCTGCAAAGCAGCCCTAAGTGGCAGGTGTCATAATCACCTTTCCAGAGAAGGGGGACAGAGGCTGAGAGAAGGTAAGAAGCTCACCTGAGGTCCATAACCTACAAGCGGTCAGGTCAGGTTTCAAATCCAGATCTGCCAGATACCCAAGAGTCTCAGGGCAGTATTGCACTTGAGCAGCTCAGTCTGGAGCAGACACTGTCAACCAGGTTTGGGCATGTCCAATCTCCTGATCATTCACAGGCTTTATTTTGACATTTCAGATAATGTTAAAAGCAGGGATTAAATTTTTCCATTTATCATAAAGGGAGCATAAAAAAATATTGCAAATGTTCGCCCTAGGTGCTTCCTCTATAAGACCACAAAGGAAGGCCTGTGAACGTGAGTGCTGTACCTGACAACTGGGTGCTCCATAAATCGTTGTGGGCTTCTAATTAAGAAGCCAGCATGTTGGTGGGGTGTGGTGGCTCCCACCTGTAATCCTAGCACTTTGGGAGGCTGAGGGGGGTGTATCACCTGAGATCAGGAGTTCGAGACCAGCCTGGCCAACACGGTGAAACCTCGTCTCTACTAAAAATACAAAATTAGCCAGGTGTGGTGGCACATGCCTGTCATCCCAGCTACTTGGGAAGCTGAGGCAGGAGAATCTCTTGAACCCGGGAGAAGATTGCAGTGAACAGAAACTGTGTCATTGCATTCCA